TTTTCTATGACTGGAATGATACAATATAAAAATCTATAATAATTATCATGGATAAGGATATAGTTATATATCACGAGTGGTTGTTTCAATTTCAAAATCATATGAATTGTATTTATGAAAAGCGAAAAAAAAATAATGACAGTCCTTAAGAAACACTTTTGTTTTGTTGATATGGGAAAATAGTTCCTTACATATCACCCAATATTGAAAAAAAAAGAATCATGTTCATATTGAAAAATAAACTTTCCTTATTGAGTGTTTTCACTTCATTCAAAACAGTTTTTCATCAAAAATGTCTTCAGAACTATTTTAATCGGCATTTTAGAGAGTTCACTCGCTACAATTTGACTGTTTATATACATTTCTATAGTAGGATTAACGTACAGAGCACATTTATGATGTTTATGTCAAAGTTTACTTGTATGTTGACCATTGTTGGTTAAATTTTCAAGATTTCAAAAAACATTGATTACAGTTATTGTTCATTCATGAATATTTACGAACTCTCAACCTACATACCATCTGCTTCAAAAAGACTAGTTTTTTAACACTTCGAAACAGAATTTGTGGTAAATAATAAAACATAACATGCTATAAATGTTGCAGCAGTTGATATCAAATTCTCGAGTGTAATTCCTTCATATATTTTTATGATCCATCATAAAATCTTCCACACAATGTTACAAAGTTAGGACGATCGTGTTACTTTATGATATGTGGATTTCTGATAAACTACATACAAGTAATGAAATCTACTGGTAAATTCAACCGGTTGAAATTGACGTCAACAAAAATAATTTTTTTGTTTGAGCTAGGAGGAGTAAAACAAAAAAGTGTTTTCATGCCGGTAGGTATCAGTTCAGTTGAAATTTTTCTTCCTCACGATTATTTATCATTACTGAGTAGATATTGTTACCTGCCAAAAATGAACGAAAATTCATGAATGGGTCCTATAAATTTTAATTTTTTTTTAGTTCCAAATAATGATGTTCAGACCATTAAAACTGTTCCAATCAAGGTTCTAATGGTCTGAAATCTAAAGAGAGGTCAACGATTTCGCCCCCATATGAAATATAATTTTTATGGAGTTGCATATATCAAAATATGTTCATTCCTAATTGAAACAAAAAATAGTTCCACTCATTAGCATTACTCACATTTATTAAGAAATTGAGGCAAACATAATTGGTTTCGTCAATAACTCCGATATCTGCAGTAGTTTCGTGAATGGTTAAACCCTTTGAAAAAGTGGGATAGGTGTCATTTTGGAAACGTGAATGATAGAATTGGAAATTCAACTCTTACGATTGATCTATAGACTAAGTCATATGGCCACCTTCATAAAACAGATCAGACCATAGTTTTTTTCATTGAAAATATAAATATTCAGGACAATTGACTTTCTCGAAATACACATTCCTTGAGGTTGTAAGAAGGGGGATTAGTTCAGACTTTACTTTCTGCTTTTTTCACCAGAAAGTTTCAATGGTGCCCGAGTTGTCCTCAACGCAGAAACTCTGCATTGAGAAGACTTCGATTTTTACCTCAGCGCCCTTGATAATGAATATTACTGGAGTCTTTTCCCAACACCAAACCATTATTTCAACACTTTGACACATGTTTCGATCACCAAGTGATCACCTTCAAGAGGAATATCAAACAGATCATCGAAACACGTATCGAAGTGTTAAAATAACGGTTTGGTGTTGGGAAAAAACTCCGGTAATATTAAAGACTACACCGAAGGTTCCGAACAGTCCATCACAAGCCCTTGATAATGTTTACCGCAGTAGTGGACGAAACGTCAGGCATAGATAACCTGCAGACCACGGCCAAAATACCCGAAAAATATCTTTAATACAGTGATCTTCGACTGTGAAAGTCTACATTCTTTGATCAAGGATATTGATGTTTATTTCACCAAGGTCGACAACTATAATAAAAATATAATCCGAGAAGAATTTTGTGAAGTCACGAATTTTATATTTGGATCACTCAGACAAAGAGTTTGGGATAAAGTTCAACTTCATAATTGATGACTCAATCCTCCTAAGAACATTTGGCCTGAAACATTTATTAATTGTTACGAACTTTTGTTAGAAGAATTATAGAGGCTGCGTCATAACAAAGACAAAACTCGAATATTAGTTTCAGACTATGGAACAGATACATACTTAGTCGAAAGCTATAAATATGGCAATGAATTCAATGGTACTCATATGACTTTCATTTCAGGATAGAAATACATGCTTGTGTATGAAACTTTAATTTTCTGTTTGATTCGGCCGTTACTTGATGAATATCCATAGTAATTTCATAAACTACACTTTACGATTTGATCTTCACAAACTTCATTTTCAACAAATATATCACGATACAGCAGCTTTTTCGTATCACTACGAAAAAGCTACTGTGATAGCGACACGTGTGATATATTTTTTGAAAATAAAGTTTGTGTAGTTTATGTGTTTGCAAACTTAAATGTATAGTTTTTGAAAGAATTTATTTTTCTTGAGTTTTGCATAGGCACAAAATTTTATTAGCAACTTACCACAGTCACATATTCAAAAATTAGGAAAACATTCAAAAGTTCCAACTTGGTTCTTTACTGAACCATTTCAATGACAGTTACTGAGTATTTCTGTGGAGGCATTTCTGAGGCTCCCCTCCCAAAACTTTTACTCGATCCTTTATTCTTGAGTAATTGGAGAAAAAATTGAAGTAGTTGGTATATGTAATATGTCATTGAACAAATTCATCAAACATGGGATAGTTGCTGGAATATCAGAAAACAATAAATATAGAGGAGATAGAAATACTATCTTTTTATTTGTTGGGAAAGAACGTTTTTGGCTTTCTACCACTCCATTTCGATACAAAAAAAATGTGGGAATCTTCCAAAGAAAAGAAGGAAGCAGTCAATTTCAAAAGAAGTAACTATATACATAGAGGTGTAGATCGTGCTTCTTTTGAAAATCCGTCAATTTATAAAATGCATCACGAGAGATTTCATCCAAAGATCGTAATGTGAGAAAAGGTAATTTACATGACTAAATACTCAGAGGAAAAATTTTTTCCTTTTCATCTATGTTCATAGATGAATAACAGCGGATTTGCTGAAAATGGACAATATCCGGCAAATTGTAGATCCCTCAAGCTGGCACGTGGCTTGAATATGACGATTCTTGTGCATTACCTATTTTGCCATAATCGTCGTTGAGTTGGGATGCATATATTGTATTCTATGAAAAGTGTGCCACTTAGATGTTACGATAAATTATAACTTCTCTCTGAGGGGATGGAAAATTTTGGTTGTTCGAATGCTTATTCATTACATCTCAAACTGAACAGATGGAATAATGAAACGTCTTAAATATAGAGTCACAACTTCGGCTACAGCTTTTTATGTTAGAAAATCATGGTGAAAATTATCAGTTGAATATTATTTAGGAAAATCAATACAATTTTATAACTAGAGAACCTAAAAATGCCACACAAATTTAAAAATACCAAACTCGTAAGGGACATTACACACGATATAAGTAATCTAATCAAATCAATATTTGACTGACAGATCACAAAATGCAGTCATTAAAATACAAAAATTCACTCCTTTGAAATGGAGCAATGGATTCTGTATGGTTCAATTCTGAGTCCTTTTTTATTTATGATAGTTATATGTTAATTTTTCAATCAGCTGTGCCGACGGCACTCATTCTTTTATGAGGGGAATGGTATAAAGAAACTGATTATCATATTATTAATAAAAACGAGAAAGCAATCTGGAAATGTTGACTATGAATATGGCAGAAATCATGTTGACTATGGCAAAAACATCATTCGTAAAGTTCTGATTGGGGCTTTCAGTAAAAAATACTTTGATCATTGTCCTCGGATCCTCATATTGATGAGCTCTGTAACGAACTGAGAAAGGCACTTCTATTATCTATAATTTGTATAACAATCCATTTGACAAAAATTTGCCATCAGGATTTTCGCTACTTTAGCTTTCAAAAATATTATCTATCACACTATTACATCATTGTAACCAATACGTTAAAGTGACTCTCCACTATGCCAATATCATTTGAAAATATCATCCTTGTCTTTAATAATTTTTGGGAGTTTTTGTATAACAATCCTCTTGACAAAAATTTGCCATCAGGATTTTTGCTACTTTAGCTTTCAAAATACTAAACATTTCAACTGTGATAGGTTTATATATCTGTATGAGCTGTGTGCATATATTAACACGAACAAAAATAGATTTTCCTCCAATGGAAATTAATCATCAGTAAGAAATAATATCCAAAAATCTTCCTATACCAAATATTATACCATATGTTCATCGGACTACTCTCAATCAAGAGAGAGAGAGATATATGAGCTTCAAAATTTTCATTTACCTGAATGACTCTTGAAAATGCACAAACCAATGTATAAAATTTGGATCACACTCGATAGAGTTTTCCCACATCAATTGGTACTGATGAATTCATAAACTACTCAACAAAAAACAGGAAACCAATTGATGTCAAATGGTTGATGGGTGTTCAGTCTAATTCAATATCCAATTTTTGATTTCTTGATATTCTCTTATCCAATTGTCTAGAAAAACTATATTGTGAATGATTCAAGAAAAAATCAAATAAGAATATACGTTACTTACAAAATTAGAAAAAAAACAAGATAAGTTTTGTCCTTAATTTCCACTTATTGAATAATAGTTTACGTGAGTAGGGAATCTGTAATTCCACTGATTCAAGCAAGTGAGGGTACTAAGGTATCATTTCTAGTTCATGATTGTTTTATATTATCAGATTTAACAGGAACATTAGCAGTTCTATGAACAAAAAACATGCCAAATAAATATTTGCAATAATCCAGTACGATTCTTTTCCGAACTCTTTACTGGACTCACTCAGGGTGGGTCCTTGGGAAAATAAGTGACTACTAGACTTTTCTGATCAGCAGTATTAGAATGATATCGTGATAAATACCTTCAATTTCTGTTTATGTCCACACTGATGACATGAATACGAAAAGAAATCCGGGAGACCTGGCATTATTCTCAAACTGTCGCAACTGCTGCTATATTCATCAACAAGCTTTCTATAATTCACTCTAACAGACGGTGTACTCTTACTGAGTCTCCCCATTATCACATCCACACTTTTTGTAGATTACCGGTCCTGCCGCACGCACTGAGTACGATTAACACTCATCACTGCACATCCGCGAATTTTTCTAGACTAAATTTGGATTCTATGCTACGCGGAACTACCACGTCGGCCAAAGAGCACAGAAAGTACTGAAGAACTGAGTGTAGGCTTCCTCTTTCGAGAGCCGTAGTGCGGGTCAGGTACTTGCGGTGAAGGAATGGACTGGCTCATTGGTATTCGGAGGTGTATTTCAGGCAAATAATCAGATACAATTTTGACACTCAATGAAGATATTTTAAGATTTTTAGATGAAAAAGTACAAAGTGAATAATTTATGTGGTGTGGGGAATTATGGTTAGATCCCTTAATAATGATGATAATAATAACAATGATTATGATAATAATGCGCTCTCTTGGGGCACATGATTCTTGGACCTGATGATCACCTACCTCACGTTGTGTGTAGTGCTCACGTTGTGTGTAGTGTAGTGTGGTGAATAATTCTATAGCGCCCTCCTGAATGTATGGGGGCTTCGGACGGTAGGGCATGACCGGTGCAACCTCAAGTTTGAAACCAAATAATGAGAATAGTATCAAAAATAAAGAACAGAGTAGGTCACTTCCAGAAGAGGTTTGTTTCAGGTCGATTCCCGCAGCCGTCTTTCTTTCTGCAACTCACTATTATCCGTTGCACTCAGAAATACTCGAGAGTATAACTTTGGCATACCCGGAAACCAAAAAAAAAGGTCACCTATCTGTTTTCTATGGATGTTCTTGAACTTTACTCCTCTGGAGAAAAGGATTTCCATAAGTTCTTGAGGTTGGTGGAAAAATACACGCATCCTCTCGGTATGATATACGAGATAGATAAATGAGCAATGATCCATCTTGAGAGAGGACAGTGCGGGTATTAGAGAGTGGATGTTCAGCTCTTATATGGAAGCATCCTACATCTGAATGCTGGAGAAACTTATACTTACCCCGGGATAGAACACCGCCACTCTCAGCGGCAAATATTAGCACGATATGGTCATCGGAACTGTAGAGTAAAAACAAAGTAGCTGCTATGAATATGCCTGCCATTCTGATACTAATCTACTCGTTTGGAGTAATGGATTGGACTCGGGAGGAGCTGCATGAATTTGACGTTAATAAATTTANTGACGTGTAAATCCGAAAAAGTATGCATCTCCATAGGAGCTTGCATCCAGGGAGGCCAGAGAGGCCAGGGAGGCCAGGGAGGCTAGGTGTCTACATGACAGAATGGAACTGGATGTAGCCTGTATAGTCATTAGGATTTTGAATCTCCTTCTCTGCATGATCCGCGACTGTGAGCGAACAAGAATTTGAGCATTTCTCCTTAGGACAACTGCCTGAGTGGCTGATAAACTTGGTTCAGTTCTCGACACTGAATGAGGTGATTACAACTGTGTCGAAGAGTTTGAACTCGTTTAGCAAAAGGCCCACATAAAAGCTGCAGAGATTACTTCACTCCTGCGGCAACACAAGGAAAAAAAGCAATTCATTCAAAAGTATGCATCTCCATAGGAGCTTGCATCCCAAATCGTCCGTTTCATGGTTGTACTTCTCCCGACAAAAGAGAGGCCAGGGAGGCTAGATGTCTACATGACAGAATGGAACTGGATGTAGCCTGTATAGTCATCAGGATTTTGAATCTCCTTCTCTGCATGATCCGCGACTGTGAGCGAACAAGAATTTGAGCATTTCTCCTTAGGACAACTGCCTGAGTGGCTGATAATCTTGGTTCAGTTCTCGACACTGAATGAGGTGATCACAACTGTGTCGAAGAGTTTGAACTCGTTTAGCAAAAGGCCCACATAAAAGCTGCAGAGATTACTTCACTCCTGCGGCAACACAAGGAAAAAAAGCAATTCATTCAAAAGTATGCATCTCCATAGGAGCTTGCATCCCAAATCGTCCGTTTCATGGTTGTACTTCTCCCGACAAAAGAGAGGCCAGGGAGGCTAGATGTCTACATGACAGAATGGAACTGGATGTAGCCTGTATAGTCATCAGGATTTTGAATCTCCTTCTCTGCATGATCCGCGACTGTGAGCGAACAAGAATTTGAGCATTTCTCCTTAGGACAACTGCCTGAGTGGCTGATAATCTTGGTTCAGTTCTCGACACTGAATGAGGTGATCACAACTGTGTCGAAGAGTTTGAACTCGTTTAGCAAAAGGCCCACATAAAAGCTGCAGAGATTACTTCACTCCTGCGGCAACACAAGGAAAAAAAGCAATTCATTCAAAAGTATGCATCTCCATAGGAGCTTGCATCCCAAATCGTCCGTTNCGTTGAAGATATGATTTTTTTCTAGAAGATGATTTGAATATGTTGACTTTGTTTTCTTATTTACATAGCTCGTATGATGCTCCTGGATTCGATTCCTAAATATCCTGCCAGTTTGACCAATATACACCTAAGGGCACGTTCCACACTTTAATTTACATACTTCTGATTTTTCGAGATAGGATGTTTTGCCTTTATTATTTTTAACTTTCCCAACGTATTACTTGTTCTATATGCAATTTTAATATCTCGTTTTCTCAAAAATTAAGCCACTTTTTCCATTGGTTGTCCAAAATACGTTAAAGCTCTATAATTTTGATCATCTACCTTATCAATAGGGAAAACGTCTCGAATCTCTTTTGCGTAAACTTTTTTGGCAAGTACTTTGTTTATTAATTTGGCTTTAAACCCATTATTAACCGCAATTTGCTTGATGATATTAAGTTCTTTATTGAAATTATCTACTGAAAGAGGAACATTGACTAATCTGTGAATCATGCTATTATAAGCTGTTACTTTGTGTTGATAAGGATGGGTAGAGTCGTAATGTATAGTAATATCCGTATAGGACAGTTTGTGATAAATTGAAAAATCATGTTTGTTGTTTATTCTACTAATTGTTAGGCCCAAGAAATTGATTGAGTTTACATTGAAAAAGTCCAAAATACCCATCATATCTGTCAAGTACAATTTGCAAACACTTGATTGAAGCACAATGGTCAGTTTTTGGACCACTTCTTTTAGTCACTTAGATCGGTGATTTTCATAAATTTGTCCCACACAGTAAAATATATCATCAAGTACGTTGATGTTACTCAAGTACTGTGTTGACTGCATTTCAAAGACATTACAGATGCTAATGAAAACATTAACATAAACCAGAAATCACTGTATGACGTTTTCGACGCTCATAACCTTACTATCAATCGGAGAAAATTTCAGGTTATGCTGTATATGTGATGCATTGTGATTCATTGAGGAAAAAGATTTCAGGCTTTCACTTCTCCATCTTCATAGAAACAATTGTCGTAAGTTCTCCCAAAAAAAAGAAAGCGATTTAAATCAAAATGAACTCTTCCCAAAGATGTCTAGATCATGTGTAGAAGTTACTTTCAAATACAAACTGAAAAAAAAGCTTTTCATAACAATCACGTCCACATGAATATTAGAATTCACGACAGAAAAAATACTTTCGAAACAGTAACTTTCATAAGATGAACATTGAATTATGAAAAAAATACTTTTTCCTATATAGTTTGTTCTATAAACATTCGTTATGGAATTGAATCAGATACCATCCTTAGAAACGCTACACAATATGAGATATGGAAGAGATACGATACACTTATTTTATTGTCTCTTCAGCACCTTTCTCGATAATGTTGAAACATGTAGCAGTCATTCCACACATAACATTTTTTTTTTTTTTTCAATTCAAATTATGAATAGATACACAAAGGGCAAGTCATCTGTGTAAGATATCATTCAATATATTGAGGAAAATTTATCCAAATAGACATAAATTGCGAAAAATATTCAGTTGAATCTCTGCGAATCACTTATTGTATCAAGACGAATATAATGGTTTGAAAGAATAAGATTGCGATGAGCAAGTTCAACGTATACAAAATAGTTGCATCAGTACAACCACATAGTGCCACCTTCTAGAATTGTGCTTGGCTATCATTTGACGTATCTGAGACATATCATTTCACGCACAAAACTATTATATCGGGCTCTTATTTAGGTGATGAGTGTGATATGTGTTAAGGTGCGTATTCACCAAAAAAAGCGAGCACGACCGAACCAGAGCGAACAAGAGTGCACGAGCATTCCGTATCAATAATCGTCTGGTGAGTACGGGCTAGCGAACCCAAAGTAGATGGATCAACTACGAATACGAACTTGAAGATATTACCTCTGGTGTGGACGAGACATCAATATGTCGAGCAAACACGAGCGAACATGAGCTCACACGAGCAAACATACACGAATGCTCGCTCGTGCTCGCTTTTTCAGTGAATACGCACCTTTAGGAATTTCACGTGTAAAGCTCGTTAGCTCGGACAAATTTTGACTTTTGAGAGTTGTCGTTCGTAGGGGGGGCGATAGCTGATTAACAGAAAAACAGATTTTGAACGAATACAAATACAATGCGGCAAAGTTGTGAAGCAGCAACCCTATTGAATGTGAAGAAGGTTTATTCAGAACGCACTACGCTGAACATATTATAATTATTTCGTTATTTCATTTGTCAATTAAAAAACAATCTTTTCTGTAGGCTTGGGTATTTTTCATTTTAAATATTATGCTAAAGGGCTATCTGGTTTGTAACGAGAAAAAAATGGATGAATGTTACTTCATCTTTAACAACACAGCATCAAAATTTGAAGACTCTAGTATTTTCTTTCGTCCTTTCAACTCGACAAGGATTTATAAAATCTTTCAAATTTTGGTAATGAAATATATCCAAAAAGTACTTCAAAACTTTCCGGGGCTTTTGGCCGCGGTCTGCAGGTTTTTGTACTTGACGTTTCGTCTACTACTGCGGTAGACACCATCAAAGTAACGGTAGTAGTGCACAACTTGTTATTTATGCTGTCCCAAACGCATCAACTACAATGCTTATATTTGACTCTGGTTTTATATTATTATTAATGGACGTGGTTTGACTTCTCTTGATTGGATTACCTGACCTTGTTTGTGTACGTTTATGTACCTACAGGTAGTCAGATTTTATCAGTATTCTTTGCCTATTCTTTTCATTAATAATAATATAAAACCAGAACAAATACCAGCATAGTGTTCAATGCGTTCAGAACAGGGA